TAAGTTGTACTGTGTCTTTCTACATACCTTCCGATGTTCATGCATGTTTATTTCGCACTGTAACTTGTTTTAGGGTGCTTTCACACTAGCACTTTTGGTGTGCACCGGGTTCGATTGACGTCAGAGTTCGGTTCGTTTGGATGATGTGAACGCTGTCTTCCGAACTCGGGTGCGCACCCGTGAACCGTACCCGAGTCCGCTTAAAAAGGGTGGTCTGGGGTATGGTTCAAGTGAACTCCGGTACGGTTCGCTGCTGATGTGAACGCAATCGTACCAAATCACGGAAGTGAACCGCTATTGATGACGTATTATTTGATTGTTTGTGTGTGTGTTTCACTCACTTTCCTGACGAGCTGCAAACAGAGAGCTGTAGGCTATATCTCATTTCTATTAGCCTTCAGCGTTCTTTAGAGCATTTGCAGTACATTCGTAAGACAGACATAAGTGTCGTTATGTACCGAAGCTTTGTAAACAAAACGAACTGTTCAAAAACGTAAATATATAAAAGTGCAGAGAGCAATGTTGTGCATTTGCCGCCGCCTTCTGCGCCGTCGTTACTAAGCAACGGGGTAAACAGCTGCTGGCTTGATGACGCAAACGAACCGTGGGTCGGACCCAAATAAATAATATGAACGCAGTCCAGCGGGGGCAGGGGGGAGCAATCGAACTCGGGTTCGGACCAGGCAAGCAAACCAAGTGTGAAAGCACCCTTAAAGTGGAAGAGACTTGTGCTCCAAACTGTTGCTGTTGCATCCCAGGCTTTAAGAGCATCAAAACGGCATTTATTGTTTGAATTTTGTGATAAACTGTACAGGATTTGAAAGTGGAGACTTTGTTTCTTACCAGAAGAAAGCTCCTTGCAATTACTGGATGGGAGGCGCATTACAAATAATGTTTGGTGAAGGGAAAACTGTGGACTTGGCAACCCTGGCTTAAGCTACAGGTGATTCATAAAGTCAAACAGAGCCTGCGATAACTGCACTATTTGGTTTTCTTTTTTAAGTTTTAAAGTGAGACTGCATTCATGAGTTATTATTGCATTCACTTCAACAGCCCTAAATTCTACACAAGAGACATTTACACACAAGATGCTGTCTGACACTTTTTTTTTCACCCCCTTTTGATCGGGCCCTGATCATTGGCTGCTTTAAAGCAATCAGCCAATAAACAATAGTGCATATAATTGCTTTTATCTGCCGATAACGATGATTGGCCGCATCTCTAATAAAATCATCTCCCAATGCATACATGTAAAATAAAGGGCAAAATAAAGTGGCTGGAGTAGCTGAAGACAAAAATACCAACAGGCTGTCCATTGCTGGTTAGCAGGAAAACTGTAAAACTGTAGCAGGACCAACCACTGGACCTAGAAACCACGCAGTTCAAAACTAAACATAATAAACCAAGAGAAAACTGAAGATACTCCAGGAAATAGGAGTCAACTACTGAAAAAAAGAAAACACTAGATGAAGGAAAAACACATTTACTAAATTCCTTACAAATACTAACAAAGAACAGGACTAACAAGTTAGTTTGACCTCTGACATGCAACAAACACATGAGAGACAGAAGTACTGGATAGTGAAGTTAAAGCGCTGTTTGTCTCCCATCAGCCAACTGGGGGCTGTAAGGATTTTACACCACAGAGCGGAAAATATGACGAGCAGCTCAAAATCCAGAGTAAAGGAGGAACACACATGAAGCCGAAGGCCTGCTGTGACTGACTAAACTAAACCCTTAACAACCAAAACCAAACAACTGATTCAAAATGCACAGCAACAATGCATGAGTAATCATTATCTCACCCATGGATCAAGGATTGCAAAAAAAAAATCATCTTTTATTTGAATTGTTTTCATTTTAAAATGATTTATTTACTGAAGACGAAGATCTGATAAGATACAATGCATGAGTAATCATTATCTCACCCATGGATCAAGGATTGCAAAAAAAAAAAATCATCTTTTATTTGAATTGTTTTCATTTTTAAATTATTTATTTACTGAAGACGAAGATCTGATAGACTTCTCAACTACTTCTCTAAAGAGTTATTGGAAATACCACATAAATGTCACATTAAGTCGAGCAGCTAAATTTATGCTCATATCATTTCTGCAATATCATAACACACTAATGTTCTGCAGCGAGTGACACACTATACTTATGTGGTATAGCAGGATAAACTCAACACATCTGAGAGGAATATAAAAGCTTAACACAGGCAGGAATGGTACATAAATACAAGGGCTGTGCATTTGGTGCGGTGATTCAGCAGTAAGTGAGAATTATTACCAAGAACCCAATGGACAGCCATGATTCAAGAAGCCTGAAGTGGACCTCATTCCATTTCTATTTAGACCAGAGTTCCTGAACAATCCCCCCATAAACCCTAAATCAGACAAGCAGCACGAGGAGCCGTGTGAAAGAATGAAAAAGCCAACTCAAGCAGTTTTAATCAAACTGTAATAATAGACTTCCTTTCTATATACATGCAAACTTGATTGTATCATGCCTTACATCCTTGCTTTACAATGTAAATGTAAACAAATATGAAATAACATACTGTATTTTTCACCTGTATTTATAACATACTGTATTTATACCTTAAATTCAAAATATCAAAACACAATGTTACACAGGGGAGAATTTATGCTCTATTTTGACTTAAAAAAGAAGAGAGTGTATGACTCAAACCGACATGGGTTGTGGATTATGGAGAACAAAATAAGAATAAAACAATTAACTACATTTGCAGTGAACATATCAAAAAATTATTTACGTGCTTCAAAAAGTATGAATCTAGCGGTTTAATCCAAGTTTTCCAAAGAGACACAATCGCTTGTGCTGAACGGATTTAAAGGAATAGTTCACAAAAACGAAAATTTGCAGAAAATTTACTCATTCTCAGGCCACCCAAGATTAGGATGAGTTTGTTTGTTCATGGGAACAGATTTGTAGAAATGTAGCATTGCATCAGTGTCTCAGCAATGGATGCTCTGCAGTGAATGGGTGCCGTCAGAATGAGAGTCCAAACAGCTGATAAAAACATCACAATAATCCACAAGTAATCCACAGCACTTCAGTCCATCAGTTAACATCTGGAGAAGACAAAAGCTGAAACTAATCCATCAAGACTTTTTTTTTAACTAAAATATGAGTTTATAATCCATAGTAACATCCTTCAGTGTAAAAGTGCATCTCCTGTTGTCTCTCACATCAAAATCCAGCCACATATTTGTTCAGAGCTGTTTTGGCTTGTAAACGGCAGATTTCTCTCCTGATTCAGACCAGACCACTTTTTCACTGAAGTGTTATTATGGATTATGGACTCGTATTTGAGTTAAAAACGTCTTAATGCTGGATTTGTTTCAGCTTTTGTCTTCTCCAGATGTTAACTGATGGACTGGAGTGCTGTGGATTACTTGTGGATTATTGTGATGTTTTTATCAGCTGTTTGGACTCTCATTCTGACGGCACCTATTCATTGCATTGGTGAGCAAGTTATGCAATGCTACATTTCTCCAGATCTGATGAAGAAACAAACTCATCCTAATCTTGGATGGCTTGAGGGTGAGCACATTTTCTGCAAATTTTCATTTTTGGGTAAATTATTCCTTTAATTTACATTGATTAACACACATAAAGTTGATCAGTTATGGTCAATGGAAACTCAGCTGTGCTGGTTTGATGCACAGTGAAGTTTGTTATGGTGCAGCATGCACGCATGTTTGAGTTGCCAGATAACTGCACAGTTACACCTCAGTTTTCATTTTGACAAACCAAACTATGATTCCAACTTAATTTGACTGATGGCGACACTACAATGATTTTCAGTCAAAAACAGAACTTGATCACTATTTTACACGTCACACAAACTGATTTTGCATCAAAGGGTTACGATAAACTTTTTTGCAGAGACTTGAGGATTATAATATAGACACAACTCTCCCTCAAGTCACTTTTTGTTATATATTTTGTGGATAAAAATCTTAAACATTTTATAATTTTGAGGATTTATCTGTAAACCTACCAGGCAGGTATTTTCAAAACATGTTGTCCTTAGAATTGGTCCTACGCTCAGTAATGTATGGTTTAAGTAGCTCTCAGACACTCAGCAGTGTTAATGTAGCGTTGTGCTAAATGTCTTCTGTTACTTATTCAAGGTCAGCAATGATGAATTCCTTCCATGAGCAAATGTGGTCAATATCAAGGGTACGTGAGAAGTATTCGACTGGTCATGTGAGGCTACTGAGATTCAGTGAGCATTATTTAAAACATTTTAAATGCACTATTCATTGCACGAGTTAAAAAAAAAAAAAACTTCATTTTATAAGTATAATATAAATTATTTAGTCTAACATTTTTGGTAATTCCGACATGTAAATTGCATTTTATGGTTTTATTTTATTTATTTTTGGGTTACATTATTATTATTATAAATATAGTTTCTAGTTTTCAATCTTGTGATGTAATCTAACTGCATCCAAGATATAATGTTGTGAAACGTGTTTCGCTTCCTGAGGTTCTGGGCTGCGTCTCCAGTGATGCTGTCTAGACAGACAGCTGACAAGATTTCGAAACGAAGCCCAAGTCGGTGTTTAATGAGAAGTTTGTCGTTTCTCTGCAAACATTCATTCCTCCTGTGGTGTTCATCTACAATTAAAATGAGCTGCAATGCCGCACATCGACCAGGCTCTCAGTAGCAGAGCGCGAGTCCTGGTGAACAGCTGCTAGTATAACTCGGTGTTTGTCGCCAGACACACAATAGAGCGCTTTGTGTTCGTTTCATAAAGATGTGATTGAGAGCAACTGAGCGGTTTTCTGTCACACGCTGTTTTTAAGAACGAGATTCGCGTTCGGTCACACGGGGCAAATAAAACTTACTTGCTACTTAGAGTTTCACAACATCTTCACAAGACTTATAAGTGTTCCTCCCCCTCACTACAGATCAAATACATCACCAGTAGACTACTGTACTGCAGGTCTGGTGTTTTTCTTACCTTTCACTGTGTTCAGCGTTATTCTCTCGCCTTCCGTCTGTGCTGCTGCTTTTTCCATCTGCAACCGGACAAGGTTTGAACCCGCGCTTCTCCGGTCACACTGTATCCGCGGCGATCAGTGTTCACTCTGTAGTGCGCACTGCCTCGACAGCACTAACCAGCTGCTGGAATGAGTGTGAGTGACGTGGTTCAGACGCGCTGCACTTCTTATTGGACTGGCATCACACACACACACACACACACACACACACACACACATATATATATATATATATATATACATATATACAATATATATATACATATATACAATATATATATATATACTATATATATATATATATATATACAATATATAT